GCCCTGTGCTTCATCCAGTTCTTCCAGCAGCCTTAAAGAGTCATCTAATGGGTCTTCATGGTAGGTTCAGATGGAGAAATGTCTCATCTGAATCTCCTCATCTATGCTCAGGTGAGAGACTTACTAAAGACCCTAACAAATATTATTCTAGCTTTAACCAAAACAAGGCAATTCTTCAACTCTCTACAGGTTGCTGAAATCAGGACTGTTTAAAGTTCTTTTCATGAAATTTGTAATAAACAACTAAAACAAAGAAATATTAAAGTAAACATCATTTACTGTTGAAATTTCAAATCAAGTAGTTTTAAAAATGAAAGTTTTGTTTTTCTTATCAGAATAGGACATACTCCCTAAAGAACAATTAGGGATTCCTAAATATAGTAAGTCAGAAACCGCAAATATGTTAAATTATCAAGTTTAATATCAACAAAAGCTCCTTAGAACAACACATACTTTTAATTAAATGTACTTATTCCTTTGGTTCAAACGGAAACATAATGTATTTCCTTAAAAACAAACTATATTAGAGGAAATGAAAACTTAATCTGATTCAAACACAGAAAATGCAGAGCCTCTGTTGGATATACTTCATATTAAAAAAGAAGTCAGAATCTGTTATGAATATGAAAGAATGAATGTAATATTCATATAGGGCTTATAGAAATGGGCATTGTGACTTTAAAAACCCACCATGTACTGCTGTTAGTTTGTTTAAATCTGAAAACACATCTGTAAGTGAATAGAACATGTCCATGCTGGGTTGAGGGCAGATTTGGGGTAAAAGGGACAATTCTGATATTGCCAAGAAATCAGCATCTGATACACGGAGCGAGGAGCCAGGCTTGGAGAATCCAGTGGGGCTTTCCCCAGGGAGCAGGAGGCAGAGGGTCAGGGGCAGAGGGCAGGAACGCCACAGGGAGGGCTGAGGGCAAGGATGGAAGTCAGCTCTTCAGTCTTGGACTTTCTGAAGGTCTCCTCCCCGTTGAAGTCCTCTCTCCTAGCACTCTCTGGTTCTCATCTTACTTGTTTGACCATCCTTTTGGTTCTTGCGCTTTGAAATTGACATTCATATCTATTCTGTGGTGGTATTCATACCTTGATGTCTGACTGAATGCTAGAAACTTCTTGGCAGCCTGTCAACCCTGAAAATTCAATGTACTGAAAGCAGAAATGTGTCTGCTCTTCTGGTTTTTTTTATTTTTTTTTTTTGCTTTTTCTCTGGTACCGGGAACCGAACTCAAGACCTTGCGCTTGCCAGGCAAGTGCTTTGCCGCTGAGCTAAATCCCCAGCCCCCAAATGCTGTTTCCACTTTTTTTTTTTTTTTTTT